ACAAAATTTGTACCTCACGTAGCGTTTTCTCAGATTACAAGTCAAGGTAAACGCGAAATTGGTGACCATACCAAGGTCACAATAGTAGTGCATCAATAATGAACCGAATGAATGTCATCCGGTATATATGATTAAACAGCAGGCACGCAAACTTCGTCAAGTACAAATAAATTATCGCCCATTCTCGAATCTAATGTTTATTCTTGGGGGGAAGAATTCCACGCACTTTCGCCTAACGAAGTTTATGAATTTTCAAGTGACACTTGATTTAAATACCTCGCCCGCTTCTCGGCGGCGGCGGCGTATACAACTTGTTTAACTTAATTTTCGTAAGTTAACACGTACGATGCACGTAATATGACATACCTTGACTGTAATTAGACACATTAGAGACGTAACGCTTGCGCCTGTATCGCATAGAAGTTGGCAACTTGCGCGTTTTTCTCGTGTTTGTACTTTTCCCACGGCACGGAAAATTGTCATCATTTCGTAGGTCACGATCCGTTGTTCTATCAACTTGCGACATCTATAGTCGCTGCTACGTTTTGCTTATCTTGTCTTTTTCTTTTTGCAACAGTTGCTCTCATTATGACTTTGTCCTTCTTGGATTCCAACTAGAACTATTCCATACCTCCCAGAACCACCGATGTTGCATTCTCTCCTGATCACTACCATGCCAGTTTTCGGTAAAATGTCATCGAACGTAGCTCTGTATACGAAGAGTTTATTTATATGAGTACACGAATGATCCCATGATGAAAATGATGATTGTAGGGGAAGGGTAACTGAATTTTTCTTTTACTAGGAGCTATCCCCAGACTCCCCGGTGTTGAGTTCTCCCCCAAAACCGTCTATCTGACCACTAACATTCCAGCTTTCGGTAAAAAAGGCATCGAACATAGCACCATGGGGTATTGACCCCCCCCCCCATTCAAGAGAGGGAGGCAAGAGCGGCTATCCCCAGACCCCCCGGTCTTGCATTATCCCCCAAAACCGTCTACCTGACCATGGGACTACTTTCAAAGTCGATACGATACACATTTATCATTGCTTGGACATCTAGTAATCGAGTTTGTTCTTTTTTTCAAGAAAATTGGTGAATAACAGAGGATTTAGATCGATTTTAGGCAATAAAATGAAGGATGCACATTTGGAACCCATAAGCTTTCATATACCGAAAATTCGAACTCGATACGAGGTCTTCTTCCCAAGAAAATCGATATATAAGTTAACGAATTTGACACTTTTTGCCCAAAAATATTTGAGTTACCAAAAATACACATGTATGATTCCTTGGTAATCGAGTTCGATCCTTTCCCCCGTCAGTTTCCCAACAAAATTGGTGCCTAATTAACGATTTTGACCGATTTAGAGCTATAACGCTATAAATGACAAAGAAAAAAATGTTATGATTGTAGGGCAAGAGTAATTGAATTTCCCTTTTATTAGGGGCTATTCTCAGGCCCTCCGGTGTTGCATTTTCCCCCAAAATCATTCCAGTTTGCGGTAAAATGTCATCAAACATAGCACCGACGGGGGTCTGGGGGTATGGAATACCCCCAGTATACGATGAGTTGAATTTACATGAGTATGCGAATTATGTCATGGTTATAATGATGATTGTAGGGCAAGGGTAATTGAATTTTCCTTTTACTAGGGGCTAACCCCAAAAATCATCTACCTGATTACTATCATTCCAGTTTTCGGTAAAATGTCTTCTAACATTGCACCGAGGAGTCTAGGGGGCAATTAATTTTCCTTTTACTGGGGTGCGGTGTCGCAACATCCCCCAAAACCGTGATCTTGGCCACTCTAATTCAAGTTTTCGGTAAAACGTCATCGAATGCAGCACCAGAGGGTTCGGAATACTCCCCAGTAAACCCCTAGTATACGAATAGTTTCATTTATATAAGTATGCTAACGATCTCATGGTAATAATGATGATTGTAGAAAAGGTCATTGAATTTTCCGTTTACTAGGGGGTATCTTCAGATCCCCGCTGTTGCATTCGCCCCCAAAACCGTCTGTCTCACCACTCTAATTTCAATTTTCTGTAAAACTTCATCGAATGCAGAATGGGGGAGTCTGTATACAGAATGATCTTATGGTGATACTGAAGATTGTAGGGGAAAGGTCATTGAATTTTTCTTTGACCTCCCAGTATATTAAGAATATCATAATATGAGAGCGTTGCATAATCATCTTTGGAGATTTAAAAAAAAACTCTTTCCTGAACATTAATTGCCTCGTGACGGAGCGGCAAAAGAGAATTTCCCTTGTCGGCTAAAAATTTCAGAGGCATATATTACAGGGGAGGATTTTCCGTGCGAAAATTTCCGGGGGTGAGTTCTCTCGGGTAATCAATATTTGTCACGCACCTTCTTGAACGTAAATTTCGTTATGAGGGAGCACTCTGCCGAGGAAGATTTTATTTTCAATGAAAAATTAGGACTCGCAGTTTCCTGGTGACCAGTCTTCTTGGAGCAGAAATTACCTGAGCGAAAGAAAACCCTGAAATTAAGATACAAAGCCAAGCCCTCTTAACGATCAAATAAAAATTACTTTAAAGCGGATGGGGGGCATGATGAAATTCCGAGGACCAAGTGAAGCAATTACTCCTCAAGTTCTTCATCATTTTCTCTACCAAATTTTTGTAAAATTCATTGTTTCCCTCACGATCATTGGAAAGTGCCCTTAGTTTTTCGTCATCTCTTGCTAATCCTCTATCGAAATAATTGCTAATAAATTAAACAAATATAGCAAACGAGCTCCTGGGTATGGCTATAGCATGTGCAAAACCAAATTTTAAACCTGATGTTAGTTTTGCTTTTATTTAAAGTGTATATGTATGAAATTTCATTTGAATGCCTCCATAAATAAGAAAGTTGGCACTGCGCATGCGCAAAACGAAATTTTGAAACTGGCGTAAAATTTACTTTTATTCCAAGTGGCTATATATCAAATTTTATTTAAATCCCTCCATAAATAACAAAGTTGGCACTGCGCATGCGCAAAACCAAATTTTGAAACTCACGTTAAATTTACTTTTATTCCAAGTGGCTATGTATCAAGTTTCATTTAAATACTTTCATAAATAATAAAGTTTGCAATTCGGTCTGTAAATGGTCGAGATGCACAAAGGGCACTGTGAATGCTGATCGATCAGGCTCAAGTTTTGGAATTGTTTTTTATATGGCTAAAGCTATGCGCATATTGAATTTCATGCAATTCGGTTCATAACTAACGGAGATGTCAAAAGGGCCTACTTTATTTTTTGGGCTACATTGCCAATTCACGAACTCCGATCTACAAATTTGATAAAGAATCCACCTGCAAAATTTCATCGTAATCGGTCCATTCGTTTATGAGTTATCGTGCTAACGGACGGACGGACGGACGGACAGACACAACAAAATTATAAACTCGCTAGGAG